TTCATATCTTCCTCGCCCGCCTTAATTGACCTTGAACTCTCCTCGAATCACGCGAGGAACTGCGCAAGCGTCGGCCATGATGAATATTGCCGACGATGGAGCGACTCCTCTAACAAAATGTTCACCTGTGCAGTAGTATCGTTTTTGAAGCGGGAAGCTCAAAATAACGCAAATTTCTTACGCGGATTGTGAATTTATGAGTGCATTTCAGACTTTGCCGATGCGCTCATCGTGATTTTTGAGGCATTATCTATAGGAAACAACTCTTCATTCTGCTCTAGCAAAAGTTTGCAACAGGCCCATTATGGCAGCACCCCCAATTAATTATGGTAGTACCTCAATAAATTAGGTAACTAACCCAAATGTTGCTGTACCACCCTAAATTGAGTTGTGGGGGACACAATTTTAGGGGATAACCACTGACACTTTTTTTTTTGTATTTTTTCCTACCTTTCTGGATATCTCTCTCTATTCATTTTTTGGATCGAGAAAAAGAGTTCTATAGGTAGTTAGCGACTTTACAGCCTCCCCGTCATAATTAATTTTTCAATTAACACTCAATTCGATGTAGTTTTTATATTTGAGGAATTATCTATGAAAAGCGCCAACAATGATGTTAGGTAACTCGTTTTCTTGCACTGGAAAAAAAAAAAAACTCTTCGATCCTGTGTCCAGATTCTTAATAAATTCGACAAGCAAAAATGCTTTTGGTTGTAATTCAAACGGATATTTTCTTGGAAAAAAAGAAAATCCACTCAAATTAAAGGCTGGGCTCCCAATTCAAGAAAAAATCAGATTGAATCAAGAGTTTTTTATTCTCGTCAAATTTTTTAAGAGTCTGAACTTTGGGTAGAAGAGACTTTTTTCCAGTGTGGAAATAAATTAACTAAGACTGAACATTTTGAAATCTCGCAATGAGAAACATCGATTCCAAGTTTATCCCACATTGCTGACAGGTGAGAAGAAGTATTGGTGAAATGGAAGCATTCACCATTGCCATTTTGAGAGGAGCGGTGGGTGAAACGTTGATCTACTGGACTTCATTGATCGGTTTTTCAGAACACTCAGTCCCTTTTATTTACATCTCTTTTTCATTTCCTTATTTTGAGATTAAGCGTCATTAGAGACAGCTTGGCGGAGCTTGGTTTTTAAATTCTTTTGAACTGAAAAACTCCTGAACCGAATGTTGTGATGAGGTGACTTTTGTCCGGTCTCATCATACAATGCGCCAATTTAGTCCCCATGAACGTTTACAAATGAAGGCATGGTGAGCCTGTAATGAAACCAAGGAAATGCGAAGCTCGATTTTGGGCATTTTGTAATTATTTATTTTTTTAAATCTTTTAAAAACAAAAACGAACAAACATCATTGCTTGCATTGTTCGCAATGAAAATGTTTAAGAAATGTAAACGTAGAAATGACTTTTTGATAGTTAGTTTGTATTGTTGCGAGTTCAGAGACGTGTTTTTTCCATGTGTATATATATATATGTGTGTGAGGGTGTGTGTGTGTGTGTGTGTGTGAGAAGAAAAACCACTAAGAAGTGGCCCGAAACTGTATGTAACAAGGTGGAGAAATGGTGCTGGGTCCACACCATTTCGCGGGGAAATCAAAGCCAAGATTTATACCGGTTTGGGCCTTTTTAGACCTCATCAGTGGATCACACTCGGCAGTGAACCCCTCTCCCCCGGCGCATATATATATAGTTCGTTAAGTCGAACAACGATTAAGACGAAAATCCGCTTAAGTCGACATTTTTTTCAGTCCCGCGACGTTGCATATGGAGCAACGTTAAAAAAAACTACGCTTTAGACGAATTCGCGAATTTTTGAGCCGGGTGGAAAGCCGCTTATGTCGAAATTTTTTTTTCGAAAAATCCGGATTTTTACGACGAAAAACACAAAAAATGCATTGATAGGAGTTGTCCGCAGTGTTCCCATTCCATGTCCGACAAAAGTTCCGGGATTCGGAGCTTTTTTGTTCCAATTCCTCCCATTCCATGATCGTCAAAGGTTCCAGGATTCTTCTCTGAGTTTTTTAAAATTTTCGAGAAAGCTCCAGAGAATCCAAAAAAATCCGTAACATGTCGGGAATTTCTAAAGTTTTGGGGAAAAGTTAGGAAATTCTCAGAAGTTCCGAAATTCGGAACTAGTTCCGAGAACACTCCACCTAGTGCTCCTCATTTACTTGTCTGCACCTAATTCACCTGACCTTCGATCTGTTTACTTCATAATATTGCTATCAGCGTACGCACCTCCGTTATGAACCCGCCGCGCCGGAGAAAACTCGCAGAGTGGCGGCATTGCCGCTTAAGTCGAATTTTTGCGATTTTCACGCTAATTTCGAGTTAAACGGAGAAACGAATAACTCGAATTACCGCTTAAGTCGAATTTTTCATTAGTCCCCAGACAATTCGACTTAACGAACTTTTACTTATAGCGAACTATAACTTTTACTTATAACGAACATTTTTATATATATATATATATATATATATATATATATATATACATACACTAGGGGGCTACGCCCCCAGGCCGCTACGCGGCTTAACCCCCTGAAGGCGCTCCGCGCCATCAGTGGGCCGCTTCGAGGCCCTATTTTTACCCTTCCATCAGTGTTAATTTTATTTTTCCCCCCAAAAATTACGATATGAGGTATACTTTACTTTTAGAATGAAATAGTATTTGGTTCCGATGAATGAAGAAAAAAAAATTTTTGAAGTCAAAAGGACGCGTTTTGGAATGACTTCTTGATGAAATATTGCAGTAAAACAACGAACGTTGATATTCAGATACTGATTAAGAGAGTGAGGAGTCGGGGATCGAACTCACACCGTGAACATAGAGGACGCATCCGACGTCTTAGACGGCTCGGCCACCGCTCAGATGGATGATGCGGCGTGAATCTTGTGTAGATAAGCACAGAGCTGATGCGCAGGCTACCCAGCTACTGCGCAACCTCCTCGACTACTGCGCATCCTCCCGCGCATAGCGGTAGCAGTCCCGGAGCATTCCGTAAATTCGCTCAACTTTATAACGTGATTTTAAAAAAACCTGGGTCCTATTTCCAAAATCTGATTAGAGCGGGCTCATCTAGGGCCTATTACCTGTCGATTTACGCAAAAATCATAGAAATCGGCTCGGTAGAACGCTCAAACGAACTATGACAAAAAGTATAAATTTACATTGTTTAAATGGGAGAATTCGCAACTTTACCACGTAATATAAAAAAACCTGGGCCATATTTTGAAAATCTGAAAAGAGTTGGCTTATCTAGAGACAATTGCCCGTCGATAGCCGCAAAAATCATAAAAATCGGCCCGGTAGGACGCTGGAACTAAGCGTTACCAGTTACGCAAAATTAGGAGGTCTTGGAGCTTATAGTATAGATATCTCACAGCCACCTTACTCGCTGGCTCGAACGTATACTTCTCGAGAATGTTACGAAAAATATTGCAGAAATTTTGCAACATCGGACAAATCTTAAGTTTTTTAATCACTAAAAGTGGAAATCTGTCGCATGAACAACTGCAGATTATTCAACATGGGGTTTTTTTTATGGAAAATGATTTCCCGAAGAAGCGCTTGGGGGGTTGGAGCGCGAAGCGGTCAGGGGGCTTACCTTATCTAAGAGTTAATTAAATTTGGCAACATTTTAAGATCAATGAAGCTTAACAGACAAGAGTTTACAGAATTTCCATCAGATACTCTTGAAAAATGACAAGAAAAGTTCTCTACATGGGCATTATTTTTTTTGAATAATTAAATCGACGCATTTTCCATCCTCTTAAAATTGGATTATTCGGTGATGAAGGTTTGGCCATTGAAAAGTTCATTTTTACGGAGAATGTATAAAATTATTAAGCAACACTCGGTTCAAAGGTAAAAGAAATTCCACAGTTTAAAAAGACAACCAAAGAAAAAACAATTTTAAAAAGAAACCGCTATACCATTAAGGTTCATCTCTGGACGATTGGCAACACAGCATATCCCATACTGGAAGGGGGGCAAGAGGTAATTGAAATTAGACAAACAGAATCCAATGGATGCAATTCGTAACCAATTGAATGTTTGACCACCTTTGAAGACCCCCCAGGCTCAATAAAGTGCAACGGCGAGTTATATCAGTTTTCAAACAAAAACATTGCACTTTTCTTATGCACATGCAACCGGAAAAGTTCAGTTTTTTCCGCTAATAAACCTCCGATTTTAAAAAACTTTAGCTCGTTAGAAAGCTGAAGAAATTCTGCAGAAACCGGTTTCTTTTACTTGCTTTAAATTAATTTCGTCACGAGGTACCAAAGAAGGAAATCAACTTAGTAGTGAGTTCAGTGTCTTCAGCACTCATAAGTGCGCCCCGAAGAAGATGGGTTTCTCTGCAACCAGTGATCCGATCTTAAAAAACTTTGGCTCGTTAGAATACTGAAATGTATTTGCAGAAAGTCATTTCCCCGATTTTCTTCTTTTTCATTACTTTATGAGTTATCGAAGAAAAACGAGCCTCTTTTTTTATCGTACATACAAGGATTTCGAAAGAAGGGCGTATCTCTGGCTTACTTTGTCCAATGATTACAGAGGGCAAATTCTTTATTTTTTTCAAACTTTTAATGGATTTCAAAGCTGTAGGATCTAGTTTAAGAGAATTGCCTTTGGTTTAACCAACTGCTGCATTTCATTTTTCGGGACACCATTTCAAATCTTCAAATGCGTTTTTCTAACAACGCTGAACCTTGTACATATGCCCCTCTTCAGGCATGGTCCTCAATTGATGTCAGTCAATACAAAATGAGTTGTTCCTTCAGACGCAACCAAGATCAGCTCTCCAAGCCTAAGTTCTAAGTTATAGGACCAGTCTCAGTTATTTTGGGAGAAGCTCTGTATTTTCTTCAACTTTTATGCCTAGTATTATGAGAGGCGGTAGCCACATCACAAAATCCACACCAATTAAAAAATAAATCATGAATTTTTCTCTTAACAAGTCTGTTGTTTTCTTCCAGATTTTAAACAATTTTAAATCAGGAACTTTCAACACTCTAATTGCAACGAGCATTGGAGAAGAAGGGTTAGACATTGGTGAAGTAGATTTAATTATTTGCCTTGATGCACAGCAGTCAATTACGCGGCATATTCAAAGGATCGGACGAACTGGTCGTAAGAGAGCGGGTGCTTGCATTTTTCTCGTTACTGAGGGGAAGGAAGAGCTGGTAAGATTTGAAAGTGACTACATGCATGAATTATTGTTCTTTTCTATCCAGGTAACTAAATTGAAAAGCTATAAATTATCTGGACCAACTTAAAAATGATGGCGGCAAGAAAGACGAAACTTTGATACACAGCAGTCAATTATGGATTTGACGAAGGAGTCTTACCTCTTGTCAAAGACTAACCTTTAGTCCAAGGATTGGACAAATTGGTCGCAATGAGCGGGTGCTTGCATCTTTCTCGCCGCTGCCACTCAAAAGCTTCTATTTAAATCTTAATTCCGTGGCCAAATCGAATGTTTAAAAAGGGCGATTTATTGGAAGGCTCTCCCTTGGAGGTGGTGAAAAATATGCTTTTTTGTCAATCTGTGAAATCAGTTCAAAGGACAACTTTTTAACAAAAAATCATTTCACACAAGTATTACAATTACTGTATTTACTTTAAGTAGCCGAATGTTTTCAAGATGAAAAGACTGCTTTTTTAATTTGAGGCTGAACTGCTCCTTCTGACTTGCTGTTCACCTTTTACACTCGATTACAATTTGATTTTTTACATCTCAAGGTTTAACTGGAAAAAAATATCGACAATTGAAGTGTTTATTTGTAAGATACTTTGATTAACAAGTAAAGTATTGTCTTTTTCCCCCAATTTCTTTTCCTTTTTCGACCTATTTTTAATTAAGCCCCTTGGGTGTCACCCGCATAAGTTATATCGTTCAAAGTTAACATCTTCATGTTGGAGTAAAAAAAAACCTCAAAAATCTGAGAGATTGTATTTTGGATGATTCAGTTTGAACACTGATCTGCGAAAAAACAGTGAATTTTAAAAAATCTCAAATTACGGCGATTTAAATCATTTTTAGCTCAATTTAGATGGCATACAAAATCTATATGAAACATTTCCATGTAAACATTTTTTGAAAATATAATAGAGCAATACAGAGTGTCACCATGAAGAGTCGAAGAGAGAGAGGTCGAGGTAATGAAAATCGATATAACAAGCCTTTTCTAATTTGGCTAAAATTGGGCATCTTTGGGGGTCGATATCTTGCAAAGGAAGTGTCGGATGGGATCAACCTTCTATGTAGTGTCATAGAATGATGTAAAGACCCTGAATACCAGTTTTGAGCCAATGGGTCACTAAATCATGAACGAATTTTGACTTGCGAATATAGTTTTCTGAAGGAAAATGACGCGAAGAACACGATGCGAACATTAAAAACGCTAACAAGTAACTCAAATACCCAGAAATGCGCAGTTCAAATCGCTCAACTTATACGCAAATTTAAAACGCCCTGGTTTCGCGCCGCGCCAAATGATGTCATCCGGCACCAATCAGAAGCGGGCACGGGTTTCCACGACTTCCGTCAAATGTCTATCTACTCTTTGTATATGAAAACAATACTAAAGTCGAAAATATATCTTTTAAATTCAGGACTTGAATCTCATTCATATGTTAGCTGTAATAAACGAGCAACAATTCCACATTGAAACACGTTTTATTTTAACAAACATCAGAGGAAAATGAGAGAAGATTGCAATATGACTACCGCAGTGCGTCAACACCGTCAGTTTCCCGCCATTCGGGTGCGTTTGGAATGTCTTGCAGTTTTTAGATTTTTCAAAAGCGGGTTTCTCCGCGATTTCGGCTCCATAAAAATGTGGAAAAATCATCACGTTATCTACTCACATTGCACTTTCAGAATATTCAATAAAATAAACAAGGTTTAGTGACCCATTCAAAGGGGGTCAAGTCCTGGACCTGGTTGACTTGATGTGAAATGATCCAGCTCTTACTATTTGATTTTTGTTTTAGAGAAGGTTTGAGTCTATTCTCTTTTTACTTTCAGAAATTTCTTAAGTGCCTAAATGCATCATCTAATTTCTCTAAAATGATAGATCCAAAACTTCTTAACACTTCTGTTACTGCAGCAAATCCAAGGATGGTTCCAAAGCGTAAGTACTAATCAATACTCTGTTTCAGATAACTTCTCTGATCTTTTTAATGCAACGACTACCGATGTTCGTATTGTACATCTTTTGACTTCCTCTGTCAAAAAGCCTCATGCTAGCAAAATAAGTCTACTGAACATTGATTAATAAATTACAAGATGGTAGATTAGTTCTGGGTCCATATTATTCTGTGGGAAATTAGAGCCAGGAAAAGCAAAAAATTAGAATTAGAGTCATAAACAAACTCTAATGAGTTGCAGTCTTCTGAATTATAACTTCCTCTAGAATACTCAGATAGACATAATATACATGATGAGAGCAACTGAAGAGTTTCAGCAACTTAAAGGCCAAAATCTACCCTCATACGAGGTGTGTCCGGAAAGTATCCGACCTTCTTGATAATCTCGCCATCAACGGTTGATAAGAGGTTGAGGCTTGGGAACACTTTTGCAGGGACTCTCCTGAGTGCAGGTGCACAGCCGGATTATCACACGTTGAATCAGTCGTTGGTAATTTGGTGATTAGTGCGTGCTATTCTGCTATGTTCGTTGTATTTTGTTTTTCCTAAAAAAAGGAAGTTAAAGAGAGTGGGGTTGGAAGAGTTTGTGAAGAGGATCATCACAGGGTACGTGTCTTGGGTCTACGGGTACGACCCTGAGACTAAAGTGCAATCGTCAGTTTGGATCGCACCTGGGAGACCTCGCCCGAAGAAAGCTCGGAAGAGTTGCAGCAATGTGAAGACAATGTTGACTGTCTTCTTCGATCATGAGGGTGTTGTCCGTCATGAATGCGCTCCCCAATACTTCATACTCAATAAAGAGAGCTACCGAGATATTTTACGTAGCTTAAGAGGCCTTGGGGAGCGTATTCATGATGGACGACACCTTCATGATCAAAGAAGACAGTCAACATTGTCTTCACATTGCCGCGACTTTTCCGAGCTTCTTATGGGTGAGGTCTCCCAGGCGCGATCCGTACTGACGATTGCACTTTTGTCTCAGGGTTGTACCCACAGACCCAAGACACGTCCTCTGTTATGATCTTTTCACAAACTCTTCCCACCCCACTCTCCTTAACTTCTTCTTTTTTAAGAAAAACGAAAGCAGAAGATCACAGCAGTATAGCACGCACTAATCAGTAAATTACCAACGACTGATTCAACGTGTAATAATCCGGCTGTGCACCTGCACTCAAGAGAGTTCTTGCAAAGATAATCCCAAGCCCCAACCTCTTATCAATCGTTGATGGCGAGATAATTAACAAGGTTGGATACTTTCCGGACAGACCTCGTATGATTGCAAAAGTGCAGTTGCTTCTGAGTGTGAAGAAAAGTAAGCTGCAAGACTCCTCAGTAAGATGAAAGACAGAGTAGACGTGCCATATACTGCCTAGGCACCATTATCCCAGGAAAAGGAGAGAAAGGTCCTGTTTGTAACCAGGAAGCACAAGCTTGGCCAAATTTTCTATCATAATTGTGAAATATAGTCATTTAATTAGAAAAAAGCACAAAAAACGAAATGCATGTTAAAGGAGAAGTATCGATAAGGGCCTTTTTTGGCTCCCCCCTAGAGGACCTTTCTTCGCCCCACCTAGAATCTGGAAATTTATGCGGGTTCTTGAAGTTGACTCAATGTAGTTTATGGAAATAATCATGATTTGGTCCATAGGCCACTGGATACAAGTTACGCAGTTGCCTGAACATACGTCTGCAGGCGTATTTTAGCGAAAATGCCTGTTTTTCTTTCATTCCGAGGCTTTTTTGACACCGAGCGCATTGTCTATCTAAACGAGCTTTTGATATGTTATCAAGGAGGCTTAGACACATTTAACCCTGGTTTGGTTTTAGCTATATGATGCGCTCATAGTTAAAAAAAACTTTTTCAAAAGTCGACTTTTAAAGGGCATCTGCAAAAATCCTAGGGAATTACGTTGCTAGGGGTTTTTTTTGGCTACAATTCAAGAAAATCTCCTATTTAGAGTTCAACAAGCCTTGATAACTGCCCTCAATACGATACGTAGCGTGCATACAGTTGGAGAGACGTGTTTCCCTAAGATTTTTGCGGTTGTACCTTAAAAGTTGATTTTTGAAAAAGTTTTTTTTAACTATGAGCGCATCATCTAATTAAAACTAAACCAGGGTTAAAATGTGTCCTAAACCCTCCCTGATAACATACCAAAAGCTCGTTTTAGTTAGACAATGCGCTCAGTGTCAAAAAAGCTTCGGAGTGAAAGAAAAACAGGCATTTTCTCTAAATTACGCCTGTAGACCTATGTGCAGGCAACCGTTTAGCACGTGTCCAGTGGTCTGTGGATCAAATCATGATTATTTCCGTAAACTACATTGAAGCAACTTGGAAAACCCCCATAAATTTCCAGATTCTAGGTGGGGCCAAGAAAGGTCCTCTAGGGGGGGGGGGCCAAAAAAGGCCCTTATCGATACTCCTCCTTTTTGACCCCAAAAACGGTTTTCATTGAGTCTGCATGTGATAGCATCCCGTAATTTTGAGGTGAGAAGGGATTAGAGTCTGTGATTAAGAACGTGACAAGAGGGTCAGAGGTTTTAAAAAATTTTGTTTCTATTTTGGAGGGGGTGGCAGCTTCTTATATTCACTTAACCAATAACTTGCGTCCTATGTCCCACTATTTTTCCAGTCTAATTGGGTCAGCTTTTTTACCACCTATTATGCCAGGCAAACTTGAGGCTTGTTTTAAATCAAATAATTTTACTTGCTGCAAGTGAAATTTTGATACTAATTGACTTTCTCGTTATTAACATTAGTAAAAACCCCAGTCTCAGCAGACAGATTGGCACTCTTACTTCCATCCAATTTATCAAACTGTACTTACAATGAACACAAAATAAAAACGCTAAAACGGAGTGCAGGCTGTGACTGAAAACAGTTTGATAGGGCGTTTTGGGATTAATGTGCCCTTTTTCAACCGCCAATAAAACAAAACAAAAAATTAAAAACCACACATGAGCCGCCGCTTAACAGCTAGGCAAAAAAATTATTATGAACTAGAAATTTTGTTTCAAAGCCATGAAGAATCGAGTTTTGCCAAAGCATTCTATTTCTCTTCTCAAAACTGAGCAATAAAAGTTTTAATTTTTTTCATTTCTCAGATATTAAACCAAAATTACATTTTGTTCACATTCAACCAGACAAAGGAGGTAAAAACGAAGGAAATTTTGCTGCTGAAGCTGATGAAGAAAGTGGAGAGGGTCCCTCTTCCTCGAAAGGTTTTTTAGTTATATTTTGATTTTTTAGAATTTAAGCTCGGCAATATTTTGTCCACTCTCGAGCAGTGAGAGATAGTAAAAACAACAATAAACTTGTTGCTCGAGATGATGAAAAACGAGAGGAGGACCCTTTACCTCTGAGGAGTCTAAAGTTTAAATGAGTGAAAAATGTCCAAAAGAAGCTTTTTTTCCTATCTGTGAGGATTACTAAAGTATTACCACAGAATTAAAGTGCACGTTTTCTTATATTTATTGAATTTATTTTCCCTTAGCCTTATAACAGCCTTTCTTTAATACATGCTAGCACTTATTATATTTTAATGTACAAGGAAAGTCAAATCTTCTTTATAATAATCAGACAGTCTCTCTCCACACATAATTATATTTCAGCTCTTAGCGCGCACAAAATTCGTGCCAGGAATTCCTCCCCCCGCACAACGTGCTGCGACGCGCGTCCTCCGCCGGCTGCAGGGCAAAGTCCTCAAGTCGTCGCCCCACCACCCGCACCTCGTATCGTGGCGCGATGATCGGCTTCTAGGACACTACGTAGCCGCGGCCAGTGGTTCCTTTCCATCCGTCTCTTCTGTTTCTGCGAACACTGCAGCCAATACCTGGGAGGCTCCTCTTTTGTCCTCCCGAAACTTTCTAGAATTTTCCTAGACATAAAAGAGGGCGTCACATGGCAACAAGTAGTACCTGTTTCTGGAACTTTCTACAACTCTCTCCAATTTTTATCATTTAGATGACTGTTAGTAAAACGATGATCCTCATTAATCTTCTCCAGAACTTCATAGAATTTTCTCCGACTCTCATAAGGTGCCATGCGACTGACAATAGTTTTTCTCGAATTTTTCAAATTCTCTCAAATTCTTTCCAGGCGATGTGCAATGAAATTGATGCCCTCGCCATATCCTTTCGGGAGCTTTCTAAAGAATATTCTCGGATTTATGGATGAGTGTTGCAAGACAACGAGTGGCATTTGTTTCTGGAACTTTCTCAAATGTAATCAAAGTGGTAGTGACAGGAATGTGGCTCGCGATGCGCGCCATGCCCTCCACGGCTAGTTTTTAATTAACACTCGAATTCCCATTAAAGTGTTGATAAAATATTCTTTATTTGGCCTCAGTAACATGATTTTCGTTGTTCTTTCAAGGTCGGTCTCTGCTGCCATCGTTGGCTGGGTCTTCTTGTTGTTTATGTCATAGTTTATTGATTAAGTGTTGGCGAGATGGAATGGAGGTAGTTCGTCGCATGCCTTAATCCTGTTCGATCTTCCAACTGTGTGGCTCCCTCGCGAACTTTTCCATCCTTTTACTCCTTTCTTGTACATTGTGTTAGCCTGCCTGCACCTAAGTATCTCCTCAAAACTGTCCTCCATTTTTAAGTGTATGTTTATGTTCTATTTTATAGGTCATTTGCCTCACTGATCGTTTGTTTCTTTGACTTCCTCTGCCTCTCTTTTTTCTTTCTTCTTTGTTCTTGATTCATGTTTGTGAAACTTGATACGAAGGGATATTTTTCGCTGGGAGACTCGAATTTAAGGTCAGCTTTCGGTCAGCTCCAGTATTATCGATTTTTGCGAACTCGTGTTATGAAGTCATATTAGATGAGAAACTCGTATTTTTATAAATTTTTTGCAATTTCAAAATCCAAGATGGCGGCTGTGGCTTTATATTCTTTCTCGGCTCCTGCTCCATCAATTTTCCTGCAATTTGATGGAAAAGAAGATGAAAACAAAGTTGTTGTTGTCTTCTCTCTACAGTTAACAGCTATGAGGGGAGGTTCACGAAGCGAGTTGCAAGATCATCGCGTAGCAAGGAACTGGGAGTCCAAGGGCATGCCCCCCTAAGCGTGACAGCTTTTGTAGCGAGCTAATCACGGCTAGCACATATATAAATATGAGCTTGTTTTGAACAGTGTTAAGAAAGTTGGAGTTGGTCATAAGTTTATGCCTATTATAGTCTCCGTACCTAAAAAATTAATGCATGATAAATTATTAAAAAACTGCAGTTTTACAAATGACAGTCAAAATCAAATTTTTGAGATTTGTATATGCATTATTCTTTGGTTGCAGATGCTCTGAAAAGGAAGAAGAACAATTCGAAGAATCAAGGGAAAAAAGAAAAACAATCCAAAGAGGCAAAAGTTGAAAGGTCATCTAACAAGACGACTTTATTCTCCTATTTCATCAAGAAAAATGATTCGAAAAATTTTGATTCGTTCTGTGAAAATGATGCAGAAGCCAAAGATATCTTTTTTATCGTGAAAGATAAAGCCCCTAAAAGTGAATCTAAATCATGTGAGCTGGACACTATCCCTAAGGATGATTGTATCAATATTGAAGAGAATCATGTTGATGCAGGTAGCTTTAATTCTCTGAAAGTGGAAGGCTTCACTGATTTGCGGCACAGTGACCTCTCTGGCCCGGACGAGGCTTCTGCCATTAGTTTATCCAAAATTCAAAGTGACTCTAGCACTCAAAATGAAACGAAGCCAATGATCTCACTTTTTCAAAGCTGGGTCAGGAAATACGCAGAAAACAGAAGAGTTCTTTTTGATGAAAATTGGTTTGATCTCATTCATCATTTCATGAAAGAGTCCTCCAAATTTCCTCCGTATAGCTGTAATACTGTAAATACTCCTAAAGATTTCACCCTTGTAGATTATGACATAACATTTAATAGTTCTTCTGATGAATCTGAGTCTCCGGTTATCATGTCAAGGAAACCTTTAGCATCTAGTCCTGTAATACTAGAAAGTGAGCCAAATTGTTTAGAATCAAATTCTCCGATCTTGTCTGGCAACAGTTTTAAAACAATATTGAGTCCTGTTAATTGTAAAGTGAAAACTCATAGTGATCTACAAGCAGGGAGCACCTCCACACCAAAGTTACCTTCTAAGTTCAAAGCAAGTAGTTCTGTAGTGAGTCATCGTATGGATAGTAATTCCTCCTTACAAATATCCATCCCCCTAAAAGTTTCTGTCAGCAATCAAGTAGTAAACAATGACCTAAGAAACAGTAATCGTGCTACATTTGATGAAGAAAATATGTTGAAAATGTTTGGTCTCAGTAGTGATCCATCGTCCTTTTCACCAGAGCCTTTAACTTTCAAAATTTCTAGTCTAGTTGGTTGTGAAACATCAAACGGACTGTTTCCTAATGAGAATAATGTGGTCACAACTTTCAAAAAAGAGAAAGAGCAAGATATTACAGATCTGAAAGAAATTTTCTTTGGTTCTCCCAAGTACATTATTAGAGACATGTGTATTTCAGAGAAAAATACAAAAACTTATGAACACAGATCATTGGCAGAACATAACATCTGTAAGAAAACATCTACCTCTTCACCAGAAATTTTGACCAGTAAAGTTTCAAAATCAGTGAATCTTGCAATGTCAAAGCAACTGTGTGCTGACGGAAATGGCGTTGCCTCATCTGTCGGAGAGGGGACCAAACAAGCTGACTGTATTGAAAATGTAAAACAAATCTTGTCAGACTCTTTTGACATGTTTCTTGGAAATTTGGAAGATGACTTCTTGCCCTCAGTCCAGCCTCCAGAGAGCTTTTCTCAAGATCAGGTCCTTACACAAAAAGAAAATAATGCTCCAAACTTCACTTCAAATATTAAACCCAATGAAAGTTTGAAACCTACAAATTCAAAGAGTACGTCAGGAATTGATACTGCCATGGCTCAAGTTGAGAGTGAATTTGGTTTCCTTCTCAGGAAAAATCTTACATTTTCTTCTTTATCTACGAAAAGCAGTATCCTGTCAAAAGAGTCTTTGTCCTCTTGCATTTATAGCCCTCAGTTAAACAGAAGGCTCAGGGATGAGTGCAAAAGTAAAGACACAGAATCGTCAGTCCTCATCCAGTCCATGCATAAGACCAAAGATTTTCGACCTGGTAATGAAAATTCAGATTTGCCTCAAGGAAAATATTCAAATGAAGATGGTGTGCCATTTATGGAGGAAGAAATGACTAATAAATCGATCGTTGTCAGAAAATTTTATGAAGGTGGCATGCAAAACCCAAAACTTGAAAAAGATTCTTCAAAAGAAAATAATTCCAAAGAAAATTTCAATCTTCTAAGTTTATGGAATCCCAAAAATTCATTAAAATTTTGTGAAGGACCAAAATTGCCTCAGCAAGTGTTTCCTAAGAGGCTCTCGTCCATCAATACAGAAACTGGTCCGAGCAAAATTTGCTCCTCTAACCCCCACAAGAGTTCACCCTGGCAAAATGTTGAGTCTGAGAGTAGAGGAATTTCATTTGCTAACAAACACAACAACTCTTTTATGAATCCATCGGTATCAAAAGACGCTATGTTTAGCAAAAGAGGAGGTGAAATGCTAAAGCCTGAATTTCAAGCTATTCAGGTGAAAAATCAAAACTCACCCGACAGTAAATTTCATGATCTAACTGTAGCTGATCATGCACAATGTAAGAACGAAAGAAGCCGAAAAAATAAACATAAGCTGTTGAAGAAGGAGTTGGAATTAAAAAACGCCAATAAGGACGGTCTCTATTCTGGCTGTGATTTCGATGATATATTTTTTGAGCTGCAACCGTCAGATAAACCAAGGAATCATGATGAACCACCAAAAGTATCCAATAATATACAATCATTCCCATCACTGAAGAAAGCGAAAAAGAAAAAAAACTGTGTAAGTACCAGAAACCATTTCTTTGGGAGGGGGGGGGGGGGGAGTTTGCATCTTTATGCAGTTAAATATTCCAAAGGAGGAGTATCGTTTTGGGCCTTTTCCGACCCCACCTGGATTTTGCTGAATGTTCCATATTTTCAAAGCACTAGTCCTAAGTAGACTTTATGCCGAATATTTTACCGAACGGAACCCATGCAAAGGTGCAACAACGCCTCAAACCCAGAATCTTGCCATCGAAAAATAGTTATTTTCGTTGACTTTTTCGACTCTTATCACTCTCTCAACAGATGACTCCTGTGTATTTTTTTGCGTACTTTCCGTTCCTGGCCTTTTTAAAGGCCTCTGATAAATTAGAAGGGGCCACATGGCCTAATGTTGCCATTTTTGGATCATTTTTAGGGGTTTTTTCAATTTTACGCACGCAGAAATTAATTCAAACTAAGAATTGTGTACGTCTCTGAAAAGAAAGCAAAAAAATGAATGAAAAATGTCCGGTACAACTTTTTTCTATGTTGCCAAATTTTCGCTAAAAATCTTCCCAAAGAGCCAAAAATTGCAGAAATTCAATAAATTGCCACGCTTAAGGTTCAAAAAAGTGGGGTACAACTTTTATATTGACATACGTAAGAGCTCTTTACCTATATATACAACAGTTTTTATTGTTTGGTATATTTGGCCTGTAGCAAGCATCTAGAGAACCAACAGGAATAAAGAGGTGAACTGGAGTGAAGGATAAGGTAAAAGTACCTTGAGGATCCGTTTTGTCACGTTCATCTCAGCCATTACATTTTCTGTGAGACGCATTGCAATTTTCAATTTTCGATACGTTATTTGTAGTGGGAGAAAACTTAAAATTCACTTCCTGGAACCTTCGACAAGATGATTAATCCAATTTTTGGCGCTTCAGGACGATTTTTCTCGAAAATTTGGCAACAAAGGGAAAAGTTACGAATCACATTTTTATGTATTTTCTTGCTAGATGCTTGCTACAGGTCAAATATACCAAACAATAAAAACTGTTGTATATATAGGTAAAGAGCTCTTACGTATGTCAATATAAAAGTTGTACCCCACTTTTTTGAACCTTAAGCGTGGCAATTTATTGAATTTCTGCAATTTTTGGCTCTTCGGAAAGATTTTTAGCGAAAATTTGGCAACATAGAAAAAAGTTGTACCGGACATTCTTCATTCATTTTTTTGCTTTCTTTTCAGAGACGTACACAATTCTTAGTTTGAATTGATTTCTGCGTGTGTAAAATTGAAAAAACCCCTAAAAATGGTCCAAAAATGGCAACATTAGGCCATGTGGCCCCTTCTAATTTATCAGAGGCCTTTAAAAAGGCCAGGAACGGAAAGTACGCAAAAAAATACACAGGAGTCATCTGTTGAGAGAGTGATAAGAGTCGAAAAAATCAACGAAAATAACTATTTTTCGATGGCAAGATTCTGGGTTTGAGGCGTTGTTGCACCTTTGCATGGGTTCCGTTCGGTAAAATATTTGGCATTAAGTCCACTTAGGACTAGTGCTTTGAAAATATGGAACATTCAGCAAAATCCAGGTGGGGCCGGAAAAGGCCCAAAATGATACTCCTCTTTTATTTCATAATCTGCCTACAAATTATGGTTTGTCTCATTTTTTACTTTGACATTGATTTATCAGATACATGCAACTCTGCTCACACATTTTTTTGGTTGCTTGGAAAAGTGTTGGAAGAACTCAGAAGATTTGAGCATTTGCATACAGCAATCTCTTGATAATTTGAAGTTTAACGGAACAAGGGATTTGTTCGAATTATTGAGGTTTCGAATTAGAGGGTCCATGAGGAAAAATTTCGAATCAAAAAGGTTTGAACATACAGGTAAAATGCCAACTTTTTTCGAAACACGGACCGCTCAGATAAAGTTAGGCCATGAATTTAAAAAACCCTTAATTTTTAAGAAATTTATTGAATGAATGAATTTTACATTGATTTACACCACAGTACCATTCTTCCCACTACTTTTGACAGCCTGTATGATCTCGCAATTTTTTTCGAAATCAAGAGATTTGTATACTTTCCCATCCTTTATCAAACATAATTACATTCGCATGCAACATTACTTACTAATAAGCTAGTCAAGCTTTTCTTCTATGCACTCTGACTTGTTTTCCTGTTGAGAGAGTAACATGCACCAACTTCAGTGCTTTATCAGGTGATTTTGAACTACAGAGGGAAGGAACTTCCGTCTTTTTCCGAATTTTAGAGGGTCAGTAATATTTACTTTTGATAAGTCGAATTGTAGAGGCAGTTCTCCGTTCTGTTTCAAATTATAACAAACTACCTTCAGCATTCCAAATTAACGAGAGGAGTTAAGCACATTGATTTTTTTAATTATTATCGAGAGATTTTCAAAGGAAAAGGCCTTCATGTATATATTTCGAATTACAGAGAGATCACTGTATTTCTTCAGCAAATGAATAATGAAATCTCTTTTCCTTCATGTCATGTACTTTTTATTTGACATTTTCAAAATCAACATTCCAGTTTAAGGCTTTCGTTTCAGTGAGGTATAGAGTCGAATTATCAACTGTTTATTTTACAATTACTGAATGTAGCATTCATTTCTAGCCTAGGATAGTCCAGTCAAATTAGATCATAAATCCCGGATTAGGGGGGAAAATTCCCACACAAGCGATTTTTGGCTAAAGTTGCTTGTTAGGGTCTGTAACTCGAGGTTGAGAAAATGTTCCTTATCAAAGTCTGCAAAATAAGTTTCTTATGCTTTCTCTTCTCCAAGCACTCTTTGACCTTCAAAATGGCCGCCGCGTAGGGGCTTCATAGCGCGCTCCCGCACTGTATGGATCGCACAGGTACAGCTCTAGACCGCGCCGTCGAGTATCTTAACCTTCTCACTCCGTCATCCTCTATATATGCCTGGAATTTACATGATATGCAATAATTATGTACTCTTACCTTGTTTGCTATGCAAAATTCTGTTTTCAGTCAAAAAACTTTGATGCTTGAGCAATAACCTGTGGGCGAGGTACAGCTTGAAAGGAAGGATACGTATTTTGATGATGCACTTTGATTCTAATTATCGCCCCACATATTTGCGTGGTAGTTTATTTTTTAAATCATTTGCAGGTTGATTCACGGTTTTTAAAAAGAACAAAAGTCGAGGGTGTAGAAGGGGGAGGGAGAACAAAAAAAGGAAGGAAAAAGCTGTCGGTTAAGGAATGAAGAAACACTTTATTTAAGAATTACAATATTAGTAGGGGTTAAATAATAAAATGAAAATGAAATCAATAAAATTTGTGCAAATTTTTTTTAATTAATGAAAACGAAGTTTCTCTGATGTGTCATTTGTTCCCGAACTCAGAGATGGAGTTGAACGCTGAGCGTTTATCCTTAAATGACCCGCGAAATCTTGGATGTTTTAATTTTTTTCTATTAAATTGCAGAGTACCATCTTGCCCTTTCCAAAAATTGCCGAGTTTGTATCACATCCGGGAAATGCATGTAAAAATAGTATGTGATCTTTTAGTTTCAGGCAGGCGTCAAGGACTTTAAAAGGGTAAATTTTTGTTTCAAAGTTTTGTCTACCAGGTTTTAGAAGAAATATTTCCTTATTCTCCGGAGACAATGTAGTTAAGATTACAAAAAAATCGATGTCTTCATCAAAAATCTCATAATTTTTGGTTGACTCCAAAGACAAGTTCATGGTCGTTTGAACAATCATTGGGTCTGCATCACCATCTAAAATTTTATTTTCAAGACCGATGTTCTTGAATTGTTTTTTGTAGCATTTCTATCAGGATTGTTCTGTTTTCGTCATTACATAAAAGCTTTTCCTGGATTAAAGTTACTTTCGTTTCTTCATAAAAAGCAATTTCATTGACCATTGATTTACCGTACCTTCGGGATCTTTCCGCATTCTTTGTTGACGGTGTGTCACGTGAGGAACCGTCTAAAATATTCAGGCAATTTCTACCAAAATTCCCAAGGACATAGGATACTTAATTTTCTAAAAATCTCCAAATGTTTCCAATCCATGGGGCCAGACTGTGCGGTGTAATAGAAATCCACCATCAAGAATATATTTGCTGTTACTTGGGGCCTTTTCTTCTGGTTTCGGCTCAAAAATGGGGTACAAAGAAACTTTTTTCGTTTACAGCACTCTATTGGTATCAAACAGGGACAGTGGGTACGGAAATAACTCATACTTATTAAATTCCTCGAGGCCTTCTTGCGACGTCATAAAAATGGAGATGCATCGAAATAATCGCAATGGATCACATGTCATGTCATTTTCGTGGTCTTTAAGAGTGTTATCTGTGTCCATATCTAAATTTCGGACTATCTTTTTACGTGATAATTTGATTTCACCCAATTTTTTCTGGGAATTGTTTCTCAGAATCTAAGTCCGACAAGTTCTGAGGTAGTCTTATTTCTTTAAATATTTGATCCATTTGAAATCTGTGAATCGACCTCACACAAATATGTAGAACGATAATTAGGATCAATGTGTCATTAAAATACATATCCTTCCTTTCTAGCTGTACCTCGCCCACAGGTCATTGCTCAAGAAACTTCGTTTTCATTAATTAAAAAAAATTTGCACAAATTTTATTGATTTCATTTTCATTTTATTATTTAACCCCTACTAATATTGTAATTCTTAAATAAAGTGTTCCTTCATTCCTTAACCGACAGCTTTTTCCTTCCTTTTTTTGTTCTCCCTCCCCCTTCTACACCCTCGACTTTTGTTCTTTTTAAAAACCGTGAATCAACCTGCAAATGATTTAAAAAAAAAACTACCACGCAAATATGTGGGGCGATAATTAGAATCAAAGTGCATCATCAAAATACGTATCCTTCCTTTCAAGCTGTACCTCGCCCACAGGTTATTGCTCAAGCATCAAAGTTTTTTTACTGAAAACAGAATTTTGCATAGCAAACAAGGTAAGAGTACATAATTATTGCATATCATGTAAATTCCAGGCATGTATAGAGGGTGACGGAGTGAGAAGGTTAAGATACTCGATGGCGCGGTCTAGAGCCGTACCTATGCGTTCCGTACAGTGCGGGAGCGCGCTGTGAAGCTCCTACGCGACGGCCATTTTAAGGGTCAAAGAATGCTTGGTGAAGAAAAAGCGTAAGAAACGTTTTTTTGCAGAATTTGATGAGGAACATTTTCTCAATGTACGCAACTCACTATGTCCAACCGTTCTCGAGATATAGTCGAAAAACCGATTTTTTAGTCTTTTTGGGGGGCTTTGGGGGGGCTGGGCGGCTAAGCATAAGGGATATCAATGGGGACTTTTAGCCTGTGCCTCTCTAGACCCTAACAAGCAACTTCAGCCAAAAATCGGTGGTATGGGAATTTTTTCCTCTAATTTTCCTAATTTGTCTGGACTAAGGAATTGATTTTCAAAGATTTTACTGTGCCTGTTGCTCCATGCGCACTAAACAAGCTTAAAAATCATTAACTTTGAAAATGCAATTTTTAAACAAAATATTAGGAGACTTGAACTCAGTTTTCGAACCAATGTCCTGTCAATTACAAGGAGAGGTTCAGAAGTAGCTGCTCCTAACTATCATTCTTCTTACAGGTTGATCAAGGGCGTTTCTAATTACGTTTTGTGGGATACCTATGGGGCACCAGCAAAAACTGAAATGCACTAGTCAGTCAGCTTTCATTAAATTGTTCATTATCACGAACCTTGCCTAATTTAGACAGTTTCCTCTTGTCAGTTGTATCTACGGCGCTCTGGTCCCCTACTATGCTCGTGTGTGCTGTATTCTTTGACAGTTTTGATGTAAATGCCACAGTTTTGACACCCTCCAGTCTGTCAAGTTTCCAACTTATGATAATAATTTATCTGCTCTAATCTGCTACTTAATTGAAAATATGGGGTATCGCTTTGTCATCAGTAACTTGGTGAATTATTCAGTCATGAACAGTTCTTGTTCAATCAATTGTTTTTAAAATGGATGTCAATATGAATTATTTTTTATGTACCTTAACAGTTTATCGAGTGGGAGGCAGAAGTTAGCGGCAGTGATGTCTCAGAGGATGAAAATGAAGATGAAGACAAGGATCAGGGTAAGCCTGACTCATTTATCCACGATGATCATGCTTCTGTTTCAAACCACGAACACACAATCACTGCCCAATATTTAGAATCAATCAAGTAAGAACTTATAATAATGATTTATTTCTTTGTTCTTTACCCCTTCTTTTGTTGCCTTTTTTCTTAATTGTAAAATCAACTGAGGCAGGATTCGCTTTGCCTGCTCAAGAATGAACCACTAGACAGGGTCTGAACTAGAAATTAACGTCACACGAGTTCTCCTCAAAGTCTTGCATAGAAAAGGAATCATACAACAGGAATTTTGGAGATCAACTCCGAAGCAAGATATTAGCAAATATATTTAACACAAATCAAATGGAAGTAAGACTATACAAATGACGTCATTTGTATTTTTGCCATTTATTCAATGTTCATTTTAAACACTTATATCTTGTTCAGGAGTTAATTTATAGACTTCCTGTTCTGTGATTCGTTTTTGTTGTAAAATTTTGAAGAGAAAATATCTTGCGTAGTGTTTCAATTCGTGCCTTGTCTAGAGCCCCATTCCAGTTTTGAATAATGCTCAGATTTACCCACTTCGAAAGGGTTTTGACCATTTTTACCCATTCCAATCGAAAGTACTAAAAGACTCAGACATATGTTTCATATCATTAAATAATTTTCATTCTTGGTAAAAGAGCAGCTCCCTATAACAAAGGTCTATTTTTAATTATGTGCATAGTTTTTCCATATTATAATATTTGACTTGTTTCATTCACTTCTATGTAACTTCAATCCATCAAATAATTGTGATGTGGAAATATTGTACTCGGTGTAAAGTGAGGTGAATCGGTCATGAAACATGCCTTTTTTGGATTTTCTTAAGTTCAAAGCCGTCTTTCTCTTGTACAATTGAAGCTGTGGAAAAGCTCAACCATTGGATTCTAATCGATTTTTTGCGTTATTTTTGACTTCTTGCTCTTTTTTTTTTTTTTTTTTTTTTTTTTTTTTTTTTTTTTATATCAACAACCGTTCTCAAGATAAGAGTGAAAACTTTATTAAAAACCCCCAGCGAATTGTTAAAAATACCCAGAATGACCCATTCCAAGTGGGTTTTAACAATTTTTACCCGTTTCGGAAAAACACAAAAAATCACATCATTCAAAGTAACCTTTTAAGTCTGAATGCAATTTCTATAGTATACTTAAAATACAGGGTGAACCAAAAGTTCCTTCCACTTCCTCTATTTTGTTGAGCCACCAAATTTGAGCTAAAGATTATTTAAATGGCCGTAATTTAGGGTTTTTTAAAATTTACTATTTTCTTGCCATTCAATGCTCAAACTGAATTATCCAAAATACAGTCTCTCCGATTTTCGATTTTTTTTTATACTTCAAGGTTAAGATAAATACTTTTGGTTGATACACTTTTTTCAATTGCTAGCGGACGGTTAAGCGCCTTAAAAAATTCAAATAGGCCATATAGGTCAAAAATTGGCAAAAAAGACAAATTTTTATATGTTAATCCAAATATTTCGATAATGAACGCTTCAATTGTCGATATTTTTCTCCAGTTTACCCTCTAAGATGTATAAAATCAGACTATCAATGCTTTCCATACATTCACCGATCGATTAAAGGCCTGATGGAAACCGGAAACCGACCGAAAATTTTCGAAATTGACGCAAAAAGACGATTTTTCACACCGTAACCTATGCACTCCATGGATTGTAACCGCAACTTCCAATTCTCTCTCTCTCTATTTCAACCCTTAGGCATATACTTTCGAGTAATAAACACTTACTGACCTGCATCGATGGGATACGGATCCAAACGGAAATGAAAACCGGCCGGAAATGTTCGAAAATGACGGGAGAAGGCGACTTATCGCATAGTCAGGGGAGCATATGTTCGAAAATTACGTCCCGTTTGCACGTTTGTGATGCAAGTTTACTCTCTTCATTTTGGTCCCTAGGATGAGAAAATCTTTGGTGGACTCTCCGATTTTGATGCGAAGGCCCCATAAACAAGATGGCGGCCAAAATAGAAGCTGAAGTTGAAATGTTGGTAAAACGGCACAAAACGTCAAGAGAGGTGTCGATTCTCATGTTTTTTGGATCGTAGATTCCAAAAAAGAACAAAAGGAGGATTTACAACGCGATTGTCAAGAGCATAGTAACCTACGGGTGTGAAGTATGGCCGATGACACAGCGGACCCGGGAGGTTTTAGAGGCAACAGAGATGGACTTCTGGCGTAGATCCGCTGGTATTTCCAGAAAGGATCGCGTCAGGGATGAGACGGTACGGGATAGCATGGATGCCAAGCAGACCATCGTGCATGACATTATGACAAAACAACTCATCTGGTATGGTCATGTCCAGAGAATGGCAGGAGACAGGTTGCCGAAGAAGGTCCTTGACTGGGTTCCTCCTGGGAGAAGACGCAGAGGGCGCCCAATGAAAGGTTGGAGGGGCGGGATTGAAGCAGAAATGTTGAGGTGCTCAATCCCCCAAGATTTGTGGTTTGAAAGAGAGCAATGGAGGTTAGGAGTCGTAGAGCGCGAGGGAGTGCTGTAAAGCGACTTGTATGTATGTAGATTCCAAAAAATTTGTCATACAGACCCCTCGACCCACGGAAATGCCCAATATCCAAGATGGCGGCCAATTTCGGCTCTTTAGTGGCCAAAACGTCAAATGCGGAGCAAAGAGAGGAGTAAACACTCTGGATATCTGTTTTCGAGGTCACAGATTCCAAAAAAGTGGGGGAAAAAACATTTCATACCAAATGGTGCTGATTTGGACCTTGCAAAGGCCGAACCTGGCAGTCATTTTCCGGGTCAGTTTCTATAATTAGCATTATTGGTCTTTTTAGAACCGGTAACCCTGCAGAATGTGGGTGAATTCGTTCTCAGATACGCAAAGAAGTACGAGTCCGATGTGTTTTGAGCCACTGAATCTGAAAATTGCATTTATTTTTCCTGATCACCTCTCTGTTTTCCGGAAAACTGACAGGATAATGACCATTTTTCCGAGCAGAATTCGGCTTTTCCGGAGAATCTGCCTGTTGCATACTTTTGCTTGAGCAAAAATAAGAGTTCACCGAGAAAAAAACAGTTATTCTACCGTTACAACGGTAGTAATGTCACACGGGATTCCACGGTAGTAGAACCGTGGATTTTGATTTTTGTAACGATGAGCACGGTGATATGACCGTGTTCACCATAACATTACTGTGGACACAGACATAATATTATGAGCATGGTTATGCTACTGTGCTCATTAATAATATTACCAAAATCCACGGTTCCACTACCGTCGAATAACCGTGTTTTTTTTTCTCTGTGTTGTTACTCATAGAAATTGTCTCAAAAATTATCATAAGCGCATCGGCAAAGTCTAAAATGTACTCCTTACTTCACAATTTGCATAAGATATTTGCTTTTTTCGAGCTTCCCGCCTCAAAAACGGTACCAGGGCACAGGTGAACATTTCGTTAGAGGAGTCATTCCATCCAACCCCTGCTCACAAGGATACTACGCAATATTCAACATAGCTGACGCCACTTCGCAAAAACGCGTGTGACGGGACGATGATTCTAACCACTGATGACAAGCGGCATGTTTACATTCACAGCTGAATATTAAAAACACATATCAGCTGCCGTTGATGGTCGATTCCAGCAACCCTCATCTTCGATGGACTCCTGACTAGTTTTGAATTGTCTAAACCACTCAAATTAGTGAGCACGACTCATATAATGATCGTGGTAAACTTTACTCTTAGCCTACTGAAAGTTTCAGTACAAGGTATACCGAGTTTAAACAAAATTCCATGTTAAATTTTTGCTCTATCAGTGATAGCATGATGATAACCGCAGAACGTACTTTACGTACTCGTATTTAAGTGACATAGAATGAACACTGATCAAAATAAACAAAATCTGTGAATCTGTGTTATCAGCTATCAGAAAAGTCCAAGGAACCTAATTCGGACGCTCAATGGGTTAGTTATCACCAAAATCCGGTTCTTACTGAACAGACCTTGTATGTATGTGTGAATTTCCGCCTTTTTAAGATTTTTCGATTTTTGAGCAGTTTAGTCTTTCTTATGTTGCAAGATTTTTATATACGTGTATATATATATATATATATGTGTGTGTGTGTGTGTGTGTATTGCAGGAGTCTACCAACTGGTCCTGGGAAATTCAAAATACCTGTCTTGTCTGATAAAATAGATAAGAATGTGTACTCTCAAGCCTTCAATAATGATACTGACTATCAGAATGTGAGTTATAGTGAATATTCATATTTTAATACAAATACACAGTATTGCAAAAATACTTTGACGTAAGCTTCCATTGATAAAAAGTGTACCTGTAGACATTTAATCTACAGTGTTTAAGATATATATCATAATGATTTCAATTTGGACCTATTTCATTAAGTTTCATCACAATCGGAAGCAAATCATTTGTGTTTTCATCGTCATCCTAGCCATTTATGGTACAGGGTAATATTTTGCGATTTTTGGCTACCAATGTTTTGCCCGGAAATGAACTATCCTTTTACAGATCTCAGTCCAAAAAGAATCTTAAGTTCGATTCGGAAAATTCCTTACACAATTTGAAAAACATTATGTTTAGGTTATATATGTACAGGGTGTCCAGACGACCTATACTAAATTCGATTCTCAGTTATTTTCTTTCGGCGGTTGTCGAAGATAGCCGGGACAAATAGGAAATCGATCCCAAGGAATCTGAATATCATCGTACCTATCAAAGTCTCCCCCATGGGCTAAAAGGAGGGTCCATAAGCATCAAGTGGGTTCGGCAAATCTTCTGAATATCCCTACTCCTTATTCTTTCAAAATATTTTTTCAAATTATCAAATTATACTTGAAATAACAAAATAATGGTGAGTAATACATATGCAAAAAAAAAAGAAGAAAAAAACATGAAGGGCCTTTAACAATTAGAGACCTAGTCGAAGGTGACTTCTAAAATTTTATCCTGAAGTCGGAACACCGATTGGAAGGTGTCTTCCATTCCAGATACTCATGTATTTTACAGTCAACCCGCATTGTGCTTGGGTTTTAGCAGTTGAAAATCGCGATGGAGCATCCAAGCATTTTAGTGCAAAATTCTGGATCGTTCTATTTTAAACAAATTGCTGGATTCCTTTTCATTCTTTTTTAACACATGACATACTTAACGCTCAAAAATACTAAGAAATGGACAAGTACCCTTCAGACCTATGTTTGCAAAATCTCCATTATTGCCCAAATTGAACATTTTTTAAGCCCAAATTCAAATCCTTGGGTACAAGGACGGTTCTGCAGGCCGATTATGAACGATCGAATTCTGACAGAAATTCTAATCGATTTGGGGATGCTATCGATTTAGAAAAGCATTGCGCTTCTGAGCCGGTCAAATCGATAGGACACAAATCGATGCAAAAGTGCAGAAATACGGCCCTAAATCGATCAGAATCCCGGAATCGATGGAAATCCAAATCGATGGGTCCGGACCCATCGATTTGGATTTCCATCGATTTCGTGAAAAACCGAGTTTTCCATCGATTTGGGTCACGCTTCATGGGATAATTTTAAAGATGGCGAATCTCGTGCTAGTCATTGAGAACTACGAAGATGTTGTAAATGAAGAGATAGAGGAGCGAATACGAATTGAGGAGAGAAGAATATCGAGGAAAACATTAAGGGACAATTGCGACTCATTTAACATGCCAAAAAAAGTATTCCAGCAGAATTTCCGCGCAAATTTACGCGCGGACTTTTTTTATTTTTAATTTTTTTTATTTTTATTTTATTTTTTTTTTCCTACGCAAATTTTAAGGCTCCTTCTGTTCTTTATGTCTCCATAATGAATTTCTCGCTCGGAAGAAGTCAGTGGGAAGTGTTCTGCGCCCATGAAAATTTTTTCAAAATCAATATCCACTGTACATTGCCAGTCAATGAACTCAGATAACCAAGATAACATAAAAGAGGGTGGGTGGGTTCATTCCCTCCCCCCTCCCTTAAAAAGATTCGTCTTAAAATTGGAAGTATACTTATTTATGAAACTTCAGCTATCGCAATAAATTGGATTTTTTTTGGCTTTCACAAATCTCGACCCTCCCTTCCCCCCTAAGTATCGCGTGGAGATAAAAGTTCATTGACTGCCTTTGGCCTTGTACAGTAGACATTCCATATCTTGGGTTCTACTGGTCCGATTTTGACCAGAGAGGACTTAAATTTTTTATACAAAGTTAGCTTGGCTGGAATCAGCACTTGGAAGATGTGCACGAAAGTATCTAGAGAAAGTAATCTACGAATATTATTTCTCAGCAAAACTGGAATATTCTATGAATTCTATGAATATATTCAGGACTTCTAACCCTCCGAAGGGCTCTCCACGTCAGGCGATATGCGTTATCTACTCTTATGATTTTAAATTGCAGAGCATGATTTCTCCATGACAGCAATTTGAACTTAGGCCTCACTATCCAATAAAGAATTTTAAATTCTGATTTCAACTACTTACACTTAAGAATTAATTAATTTTCCACTTACTTTTTCGCAAGACTATGAAGGAAGTTTGCACAAATATTATAGGGGAAAGAAGAACCCCAAAGAGTATAATATGAGAAGGATTTTAGCTTCATTGAGGCTGGCTCTACTGAAACAATGGGCTGTTGAGTAGAAAGCAACAAGGAGATTTTTCATGATTTCCTTTTATGAGGGGAAAAATATGATGGGACGTGTTCTTGATTTCAACCGCCTTAGCTCTAACATGTAAAAATACTACCCAGCGAGACTGCGGGATCTAGGTAAATGAATCTGAGAGAATAAGAACTTTACACAAAGAAACAGGAAAAGGCACATGAAAATTTGTAACTGAAACACCAACTTAGATATTTCAATTGGGATGAAAGTGCAGGCATACAAAGAAAAATTTGCATGCAGCAAAAAACTGAATGGAAGAGTAAATATTATTCTGACACCACTATTAAGATTTAAAATATGAGATCTCTTGAAGACAGAATTGTTAAACCTAGCAAATGGTGCTGAAATGAGGTGCATCATTTGAAAATTGAGTTCACTGTGCATGGATGGTTATGGAAATGTTCAAGGTTCAAAATAAAAATTGAATGAAACGTATAAAACTACAGCTAGATAGGTACTTACAGAAAATTTTGTTCCTCTTTGCGACATTCTAGTAGATTCAAGAGATGAAAAGGGAGTTGATGAAACTTGGTGGAATTAATGGCTGTTTACAATCAACTTATAGTCTCCGCAAATCCTTAAAATGTACGATAGAACAAGCGGAAGCCATAATTCTGAGTGACACAGCTATTTAGAATTGGTGAAGTCCATGGTGACTTGTTGCTCTAGGTAGCAAGTGTTTTAAAACATTTTGAGTTGAACACATAACTGAGAAGAACTGATGATAAACTGACCGCTTGCTGCTGTGAGATTGGACTAATTGAGCTTGTTAAAAGCTGATTATCCTGGAATTTAATAAGTATCAGGACTCTTAGAGTCCCCTCATGATTGCACAGTTATTATTGCTTGATAAATCAATCCTTAAAGGGGCAGCATATCAAGATAAATAAACCTCTGGTTAGGCATGCAGTCATGTAGATATTTCTCTATAAGGCTCTCCTATGGGTTCATTGTCAATCATCACTCGGACCCATCATGGAAACTCTTAGGGACAAAGATAAAAATCAATGACGATTCATTTAATCAGTAAGGAATGGGAAAACTTTCTTCTCAAATAGTTTATGGTATTTTAATACTACATGTGTTTTTGCACTGTTGGACCAATACGCTAGTACTGGTTAGCTACACTAACCTAATCGCAACCAATGATCCGATGAATTACAGTTGTGATGTTATGCGCAACCAGAGGATTTTGGAAGTGAATTTCTTAAATGGAGAAGTGATATTATAAAATCTTTGACACATGGTACCTGAGGATGAGAGATATAATTACTAATGAAATCACAGATGATAAATGATTTGGAAGCTGTCCGAAGAAGTTTATCATAAGCGGCGATGTCTATGATGATTTCTCAGTATCCGGCACGAACTAGTTTTCGAAAATTAGAGCACGCACTTGCGAGGGATTACACTACAAATTACGGATGAAATATTAATGACTAAATGTGAATAAGGACCTCGTGTATCACCATTGAATAGCTTTGATCGGTATTCAGAGAGCGAACCAACATCTCGTAGATCCGTCACACACACCACTTTCCGGTTTGCCAACCATTTCTCCAAAGGATAGAATGTGATCCAAACTGACTGCCTTAAAATGGAAGTATTGTAATGATCTAATTAGTTCGATAATATCATCGAAAAGTAAAATAACTGACAAGAAAACACTCATTCACCAAGAGACTAAGAGAGAATACAGTGATAAGCAGTACATAAACAAACCTCTCCGAATCAACCGTTCATCGCGCGCGCTTTCAAATATTTTGAATATTACTGCGAATATTTAATTTGACGGACTACAAATCATCATTTGTACACTTTTCATTGTAATTCTTTCTTAATTTTCATGATTCTTTTCTTATTTATTAGATCTGTTGTCCAAAAAACGGCGCTTCCACTTGGAAGCCATTTTTTTTTGGAAATCGATAGGCCTTAAAATCTGTCAGAAACTCCTCAAATCGATCAGAATTCGATCGTTCATAATCGGCTTGCTGGAGTGTTTTGGCTTCATTTGAAATTTATGACAAGAAGTACCATGCAGTGGTATCTCACTTGTCAAATTGTGTTATTTGTAAATTGATCCATTTTGCCTTCAATTAGCCTTGAAATGGCCTAAATTGGCCTACATTTTGAATTCAGAACCTCTCTCAGGGTTTTCATAAGCTTTTGATCAGCAATTCATGTCCCATGATAAAAATGACATAGTAATCAATTCCCTTCTTGCAAAATCAAAATGTTGGAGCTTAATCATGGAGTTTTAAATTTTGTCGCCGCACACTGTAACGAAACATAGGATTGCCCAGTCATGGACTTCCTCCGCAACTTCTTTACGCTGTATCCTTCGATCTTTATGGAATTTCAGGTCAAAACTGGATGTTCCCGAAACATTTTCATTGCAGAATCTAATTTTGACCTTAGTTTGGCCGATTTTAACACGGAAATGTATGTTTTTGGGTGTTTTTATGAAGTATTCCCCAGGATAGTAGGAACCAAGGTGTTTTCGTAGATTTTCTCTCCAGTTTCTCTCAACCGTTTCACTCCGTTTTCCAAAATTCCAAGTTAAA